AACTGACTTAGCTATATCCCTAAGGTTAGTTAGGCTATCTGTACTGGCCCTTAAAGCTTCAGACCTATTAGCATTATGTGTGTTTCGCTGAAATATTTGTTTGGAGCCATAAGCATAGTAAGGCTCTTCTCTCCCGGTCCCAGAAAAGCGATTAGGATAGACAATTGATAAAGTGAAAATGGGTTACCTGACGTTGTGCTTTGCGCTTCAGGAAGAAATGGGCAGTCTTATTACCCCTACCTTAAAGGAGCCAAAATTGAAAAATATCGTTATGGTATTCTGTTAGTCTATTCTCTGGAAGAATTCTTGGGAGTTAGTCCACCTACATATACATATGATATAGCCTTGGAACCTGTGGAGTGGCATGCTTCATCTGAGCTTTCTCTCGCGACATACCTCTTGGGCAGCGAAAGGCAGAGAGAGCTTTTACTCTGCACCCGCCTATATAAATGTAAAGAAAGCTTAAAGGTAGTGCCCATAAATGCTCTAGGCTAACATATAGTCATAAAAGGAATCGGCAAATTATGTAGTGAGGCAGACATAAAGACGTTAATTTCTTGTCCTAACGACTTGGAAAACAAAGGAACTTATTTTTCTCTGGATGCTAAATCACTTGGCAGCACCTAGTAATGGTACATGAACATTTGGTTAGGCATAAATCACAAAATGCCATATCACTCCCACTTTCGCCCATCGAAGCCTTAAAGCTCAAACAGCTGGCTAGGTTGCACAAATGAAGACTGTGGAATCGTTGAGTGAACACTTTTCATGACACAATCACCGGGCTGTGAACCGTATACGTGGCTTACTCTTACTGCCCTGAAGATAATGTGAAAGCTGGACACTCCTTTGGAAAGTGTTAGGGTTTTGATTTCGAAAGAAAATCTGTACTTTCGAGGCCTCAAAGTGGTTCGACTATCTAATATACTATCTACCAATGATGACCTTTTTAATGGTGAGGAATTTAGCAGCAGGTCATTACATCGCTTTTAATACAAGTCATTATTTTTTGCCTGTGAATTTTATCTGTTTTTTGTTAGTATTGCATATTTGGCACAATGCCACATAGAAGTATTGTTGTTGTTGTCAGTGCTGTTGATACAATTTGTTTTAATTTTACGCAGAGCTTCTTTACTAACTGAAAATTTATTATACAGAGAAAATAGTTATTAAATCGATGCTTGGTTTACACCAGAATAGTAGGTGTATGGTTTTCAGATAACTTTGGACCACTTGAACCGTTTTCAGATAGGTGATACCCCAAAGGGTGGCCCATACAAATTTGGTTAAGTTTCGATCAATGGATTATGAAGAAATTAACCGTATTACTAAATCTGTATATGAGCATTGAAGTTGGTTTGTTTTTTGTTCAGGAAAATTACTCGTAATTTACAGAAATCACACAGTGAAATAACAAGAATACAGTATTCGTATGTAACGAATTGCCAATTCGGATAAAAACAGAAGCTTGCTTATAGTTATTTTCCTTCTTCCTACCAACATATCGCTAAAAGAACTTCCGTTTATACGCTCAGCAACCTTATTTTACAGTAATTCATATCAATAGCAAGAAAGTAGAATAATTCTGTTTTTTAAAAAGCTTTCACGTGTAAGCTTATCCTTGCATTTATTATGTATTCAACCATTAGTGGTGGCATTAATGTTGCTCAGCGCAGAAAAGGAACAACAAATACATAGTAGAAGTGAATACACGTGGCGTACACGGATAAAGCCAGCCAAACCATACAGCCATTGGCCAGATTCACGTGCTGCATGGCAAATATGCATTTTTATGTATCTGTGAATGAGCGCTTGCGTGTGTGGGTAAGTATGAAGTGTAAACACATTATTGCGCGCCAGCCACTTTTACCAGTAAATATTTACGCAGCGGAAATGCGATTAAGGGGCAATCTACGGTAAGTAGTAGGTAATCACGAAATAAAAAATGAGCAAAAAAATAAAAAAAATGCTTAAAGATACGATGCACTCAAAGAGAGTGGAACAGCGCTGAAAATGAAATTATTTGTAATTTTTTTTTTTTTTTGAGAATATCTACTTATTTTTGTTTAAGGCTTTTCTACAAAAAGTACAAATAAAATATGTATAAACATATATTTACAAACTGACAACTTTCCACTGAGCTATGCTGAACTTCAAAGCGCTACATTTGCGTTTAATTTAACAAATTTTGCGACAAGAAAATTTCAATATACGAAAATTTTCCCAAACTACTAAATACGCTTTTAAAAATCAAATTTCGTACCTACATACGTTTCTAACTACGCAAATTTTACGACTTACATATGTATGTACTAACTTTACATATAAAACGAATAATTTTGAATAGTAAATTGAGGACAAACATTTTATTTATTTTTTATTACACATAGAGCGAGCTGTCAAACTGTGTATGTGTGGCATTCAGTTTATAAGTGCCCCTGAAACTGTGCTTTTCGTAGTTTTAAAATGTAAGACATTGACTGTTCTATTGAAAATTTTCAGCATGAATAACTTTAATTTTAACATTTGAAAAAAAAATAAATTATAAACTTTGTTTTGTTTGAAAGCTCACTCTTGTGAATAGCAACAAAGAACTCTGTAGAAAATTAGTATTTATTTCTTCACCTGATAGAACTGAGAGTGTTGAGCGTTAAGAATTATTGGTTTTTGTTTCACAAAATGTTGGTCGCATGTTTTGTTTGGTTATAATCGTTATACATTTCGTGCACATACAGTTATTTTGAAATTATAATATTTGAATTTTTTCCGGAAGACGCAAAAATTTGTACGTATGTATATGAAAGGTGACAGCAATAGTGGGTGAGCAGATAAGAGTATACGAGTATCGAGTTTTGTGTGATATTCGAAAAAAAAGTTTAATGAAGAAAAAAAAGAGATTAAAAAAAAATTTATTAGTTATTATTTCGAGCAGCGCTATATAGAAGAAAATTTTTTAGAGGTAGGTACATAAAATTTAGTTGATAATTTTAGTTCGCAAACAAATTTGGAAAAAATTTCTTAGAAAAATTTATAGAAAGCCAATTTACGATAGGGAACAACATGCAATAAACGTTATAAGAAATTTTGTAAAACTCGTACTCAAAAAGTGTGCTCATATCAAGTAACTAACTGGTAGCATATAGGGTGGCGCAATTCTGCAGAGGAGAAACTCAAGGTTAAAATGGAAAGGGGAACAAATAAAGTAAACAAAATACGATATCAAGGATGTTTAAAATAAATTGGGAAATTAGTAAGGCAGGGTGAAAAAGAGTAAAAGATTCTTTAAGCTAATTTCACCCAAGCACAAATATGTACATATGCATGTACATCTGAAAATACTTTTTCATTCAAGCTCAGATGTTGCTCATACGCACCGTGGCTCCGGGTGCACACTGATGAGGCATACAAACTTACTTGCACACATAAAACTACATAAATATTTATGCACAAAAGCGCTCAATTAACCACTAACTGAGTATATCGAAGGGAACTTATATGTAAATAAATATCTTTTATAATTAAGCCAAATTATGTTTACTTTTTTATATGGAAATCGCAAGGCCACGCTTAACTGTAGACATTTATATAAAAATTTAAATAAAAGAAAGAAATACAAAGTAAGTAAAAATTTTCATTAAAGATAGAGTAGGCGACACAGCAAAATATTTGCAAAGTTAAAAATTTATGAAATAATTTAAAATTCATTAAAATAAACACTTCATGCATTCGCTTTTTAAGACCTACTTAACGCTGTAAAATACAGTTATTTATATGTATATATGTATATTTTATGTATATGTATACCTAAAAGTACAGCAAAAGTTACAGCCAATCGCAATCAGATTGCACATAAGAATTTATAGACACTTGAACAAGGCAATTTATACAAATAAATATGCATATGTACATAAGGGTGGTGCATAAAACAACAATATAATATCATGGGGCACGGTTTTAGTTTGTTCTACGTGTAAAATCGAGATATTCACGAAAATTTAATAATTAAAAAAAAAAAATTTGGACGCTACCAGGGTGTGATTTTTTTTTTAATACGCAAAAATTCGACAGAATTTTGACTTTGCCTGGCTATAAATCAACGAGTTTATGAATTTGTATTTTTTATTTTTTTCAAACCCTGGTCGCAAGTTCTATTTTTTTTTTAAATTTTGACATATTTGTGGATGTCATTATTTTGCACGTAGAATAAAAGAAAATCATGCTCAATGTAATATTTAGTTTTTCGGTATTTTAATGACCAACCTAATGTAGATACATACGCACTTACATAAATAAGTACATATATTCATGCCAGCTATGCGCAGGCAAGTTATGACACAGCAAACACATACATAAATTTGTTTTAAATAAAATTACAAACGTATGCCTACATATTAGTCTATGCGCATACATATATATGCATATTAGGGTGGCCCTTAAATGTACGGATCAAATTTTTACATCAGCTTAAGCCTCAACCCCTACTTCGATGCTACTATATTCGGAGATATCACATATAAATTTTGGTTCCCATTGGAGACGGTTAAGACGTGTCGCACAGGGGGGCTAAATTCAAATAACTCAATGACGACGTCTTAGCCGAATTCAATCTGGACTAAAATTTATATGTGATATCCTCGACTATGGCAGTATCGGTGTTGGTATTATATGAAAAAAAAATAACTAATTTTAATTTTTTGAGTCTCCATAGAGGAATCTGAACTTTGGCCCCCTATGCTACATGCACAATTGGGACCAAAATTTATATGTGATATCTGTGACAGTGGTGTTACCGATTGAACGGGTGAGACTGAAAAAATCACAAATTTGACTTTAATGACCACCCTAAAGTACATATGTACTTAAAATAAATTTTACATTTTTATACATAGTAAATTCAATTATATGTACATATGCACATCATATAAATACATACATACATATGTACATATATAGTATACACATAAATAATTTTTTCAAATTCATAAAAGTTTACGTTTTTCTCATTTGCATTTTATTGGAATATTCGCAAAACTCACCTGCTTTAATAATAAGTCACTATTCGCCGATAGACATGTCACCAAATATTTGGTTAAATTTAAGAATGAACCCAAAACTTCTAAAGTTAAGTGTTCGCGCGACGAACGTTGTAGCATAAACGAAATGACTAGGAATCCACGATTCTGTATCATATGTTGTTGTACGGTTTGTGACGTCTCGACTAATTCGCAAATGAAACCCAAAAGTTTGGAACTGCAAATATGAGAAAAAGAAGAATCGTATACAATTTTGGTCAATGCAAGTATTCAAAACAGCTCATTGATACGCGTAAAGATAAAAATTTTAATTTCTATATTTTTAGCAGTTGCAGTTTTTTTAAACAAAGCTGTTGTACAAAAATTCAAATTGTAAACCATCAGCAGCAATAAAAATTCTGCATTTATACTTTAAATGAAATATTTCTTCAAAAAAATTGTATGCGGAAAAAAAATTTGTGCCATCATTGATGTGCCTAGCAGCAGAAATACTGCATGTTTTTTCTTTATTTCTTATTTGGCACATCATTCCATATTCTTCTGTACCTATCGCCTAATCGAGTCGATCCTACATATAATAATTCTCTCGAAAGCTCACAAAGCCTTCTCATCATTGATCGTCATCTTCCAGGTTTTTTCGTTATTAAAAACGACAGACATCAGACGAGCTTTGTGAAAGATATAGGGCTCTGCTTTTCGTTTGGCCTCGTGCGGCTCGAATAAGTCCCTCCCTAATGGAAAATAGCGGACGGTTGTGCTCATCTTCAGTCTATATAGCCATATTAAAAATTGCGCCATAGAGGCAGCTCCTCTTTGTACTATCAAAAGCGTATTTAAAACTGTGCTGATCTAGCCAATGCATTGCAATGTTGGATTTTCCATGCGTGACGAAGCGACGCTAATAAGATTCAATTATTTAGTATGCTTTCAACCTTTTGCTCCCAATCTTCGGGGAAAGGAGGCGTGGAATGGTAATCGTGTTTAACGCCTTTGACAAATTCAGCGCTACCACTTCGCTGACGTCAAGTAATAGATTAAGTGCGAGCATAGCAAGGCCTCGAGCATCTTCACTACTGGAAAAGCGATACTTCGCCTATATAGAAACCAGTTCCGGTCTGAAAACCATTCAGCGAATGCTGCTTTATTTTCTAATATAATCTCCGAGCTGCATTCCTGCCTGCTAGCATCTCAAGCTCTCCGCGCCCATGACTTTTTATCTCTCGTTTCTTCCTCTTGAAAAACCTTTGCCAATGTAAGCAGAAGTAAGTGTCGACTGCGAAACTCCTAGTCTTTTGGGATCTGAGTCAATGATTGGCCCTTCGGAAGGAACGCACATCAAAATCACTTAAAGCGTTTTTTTTTTAGTATATCATAACGTGACTTTAGTGAGACTTAAGACGGAATGGCCCCACCGAAGCTCTCCTTTTTTCTGTTGTAGTAGAGTACACGGGTTGGCTGTCACATTTTGCACATGGGCTGTTTACGTTGTTCGTAGCTAGCCTTTTCAACCACCTGCTGTTTTTTTTTCTCTGTGTAAGGCAAACATGTAAGAAATTGCATTGCTATGCGCTGGAGTAAACTAAAGAGGAATGCAATAATGGAATTGCATGGAATATTACGAATCTATGGTTATGCATAGACATGTATACACGCATTTTTATACAAGAGCTTCGTATTCATATGAGCTTAAGCGGCAAGAAATTGGTTGAGCGCTTGCAACTTTCAAGCGTAGAAGAGAAGCCGTGGAGTGCGAAAGAGAATTCTGCAGCACTGCGGAGATTAGACGCGTTAAATATTTAACGCCACGATTGTTCATGTCATCAAATCTGTATCGTTCTTTCGATTTTCAAAAATCAGTTATCAAATAAAAGGACTTTGCTTTTACATGGTTTTAGTTTTTTGAAAAGGGTTGCCAGGTGTTAGCAAGTCCAATTCCAATAATCGAGTTCGGAGATGTTTTCGTTTAATTTCGTGAAATTGGCGGTACATGTACCGACTCTATTAAGGAAAACGTGGGACGTAAATGTTTATCGTCTTGAAATAATCGTCCCGCGAGACGAGAAAAATAAAAGTCCCATATAATTATTATCAAGAGTCGTAAATAATTTCCATCTGAAAACAATCGTCCCGCGAGACGAAAAAATATATTTCTCGTAAATAATTATTATACAAAGACGAAAAAAAAATTTCTCTCAAAAAACAAGGCGACGTTTTTGAACTCAAATATTAGGATAATAATAAATTTGGGTCTCTGGTAAAAATACTCACCACAGCGTTGGATCACGTTTTATATCGCTAATGCCCTCATGCGCCATATCCAGTTGCGAGAATAATGGAAAGAGTACCTGTATGCCACCAATGGAATTTAGTGTGCAATGTATTGAGTGTGTGACTACAGCTTTAACGTCCTGCAAAAAAGAGTGTTTGAGAAGTGTAGTATTAAACATTATGAAATATGCATGTATG